TATTTTGCTCTTGTTGCCCAGGCTGGAGTGCAGTGGCGCGATCTTGGCTCACCGCAACCTCCGCCTCCGGGTTTCAAGTAATTCTCCTGCCTCAGCCTCCTGAGTAGCTGGAATTACAGGCATGCACCACCATGCCCAGCTAATTTTGTATTTTTAGTAGAGACAGGGTTTTGCCATGTTGGCCAGGCTGGTTTCGAACTCCTGACCTCAGGGGATCCATTCCCCCCAAGCCTTCCAAAGTGCTGGGATTACAGCTGTGAGCCATGGCACCAGGCTATAAGCCCAGCTATATTTAAATTTATTTATTCCCACCTCCAACCATTTGAGAGTTTCTTGCATACATATGTCCTGTTATCTCTACATTTTTCAGTGAGTACCTCCTAAAAAGGAGATTCTCATAAATATGCATAGTACAATTATAAAAGTCAGGGAAATTTTCACACTGATTTAATTACCTAATTTACAGTCCATGTTGAGGTTGTGCCAGTTATCCCAATAATGTCCTTTAGAGGAATTTTTTCTGGTCCAAAAGCCAATGTTTCTGAGTGTACAGCTTCGTGGCATGAGGTACATTCGCTTTGCTGTGCAGCCGTCACCACCGTCCATCTCCAGAACACTTTCATCTTCCACAGCCGGACTCCTTGCCGCTAAACACTAACTCCACCTTGCCCCTCTCCCAGCCCCTGGCAGTCATCGTTTTTCTGTTTCTGTGAGTTTCTCTACTCATTCGAACCTTATGTAAGTGGAATCATATAGTATTTGACCTTTTGTCACTGACTTATTTCACCCAGCATAATGTCCTCAAGCTCCAGGGTCATCCATGTTTAGCATATATCAGAATTTCTTTTTGGGGGTGGGGGGTTTGTGATAGGGTCTCACTGTCGCCCTGGCTGGCCTGCAGTGGCACAATTATAGCTCACTGCAGCCTTGACCTAGGCTCAAGCAGTCCTCCTGCCTCGACGCTCCCCAAGTAGCTAGGGCTGTAGGCATGTGGCAGCACACCCAGCTAACCCTTTTGTAGAAACAAGGTCCCCCACTTGGACCTCCCAGAGTGCTGGGATTATAGGCCTGAGCCACTGTGCTTGGCCCTGGCTACTTTTTTAAAAATTCTTTTTGTAGAAATGGGATCTTGCCATGTTGCCCAGGCTCTCGTCCTTTTTAAGGCTGTATAATATTCCATTGTGTGCATATTTTGTTTATCCATTCATCATGGTAGGCACTTGGGTTGCTTCTACTTTTTGGCTATTCTGAATAATGCGCCTGTGAACGTGGTCTCTTCAAGTCCCCACTGTTGTTTTTTTAACCTGGCATTGTGAACATATAAGTCTCTGTTTTCAATTCTTTTGGACATATGCCCAGAAATGGAATTGCTGGATCAAATGGTTTTTCTATTTTTAATATTATGAGGAACTGCAATAACTGTTTCCCGCAGTGGCTGTACCATTTTAAATTCCCATCAACATTGTACAAGGGGCCGGGTGCGGTGGCTCTTGCCTGTAATCTCAGCACTTTGGGAGGCTGAGGCAGGCGGATCACTTGAGGCCAGGAGTTCAAGACGAGCCTGGCCAGCATGGTGAAACCCCATCTGTACCAAAAATACAAAAATTAGCTGGATGTGGTCGTGCGGTCTGTAATCCCAGCTACTCTGGAGGCTGAGGCAGGAGAATTGCTTGAACCCGGGAGGTGGAGGTTGCAGTGAGACAAGATGGTGCCATTGAACTCCAGCTTGGTCGACAGGGTGAGATTTGGTCTCAAAAAAAAAAAAAAAAAAAAGGTTCTTTGCCCATTTTAAAGAGCAGGTGTTTTTTTTTTGTGGAATTCTAGGCGTTTTAAAAACATATTTTGGATATTAATCCCTTTATATGATTTGCGGACATATATATACATGTTTGCAATATATGTTTGTAATATATATATGTGGGTGTATGTATATATTTACATATATATGTATATATAGATAGATATATACACATATATACAGATATATATACATATAAATACATATGTATACATATATACATATATAGACATATATACACACACATATACATATATATACACACACACACACATATATATGTGTGTGTGTGTGTGTGTGTGTGTGTGTGTGTGTGTGTGTACACATATATATTTTTTTAGAGATGGGGTTTCTCCATGTTTGTCAGATCTGGAACTCCTGACCTCAGGTGATCTGCCCACCTCGGCCTCCCAAAATGCTGGGATTACAGGCATGAGCCACCATGGCCAGCCTATATATTTTTTTAAGATGGAGTTTCACTCTTGTTGCCCAGGCTGTAGTGCAATGGTGCAGTCTCTGCTTACCGCAACCTCTGCCTCACAGGTTCAAGCGATTCTCCTGCCTCAGCCTCCCGAGTAGCTGGGATTACAGGCATGTGCCACCATGCCCAGTTATTTTTGTATTTTTTAGTAGAGATGGGGTTTCTCTATGTTGGTCAGGCTGGTCTCAAACTCCTGACCTCAGGTGATCTGCCTGCATTGGCCTCCCAAAGTTCTGGGATTACAGGTGTGAGCCACCGTGCCTGGCCTGCAAATATTTTTCTTATTCTAAAGGTTTTCTGTATTTTAAAGAAAAGCTTAAATTGTTATTTATAAACCGTAAAATTCACCTATGAAGTGTGCAATTCAGTGGCTTTGGTGTGTCTACAAAGCTATATAATCAACAGCACTGCTATGTAATTCCAGAACATTTTAGTAAGTAATCCCCCAAAGAAACTCTGTACCTGTCAGCGGGCATTCCTCATTTTCCTCTCATCCCAGCCCCTGGTGACTGTGGATCCACTTTTCCTCTCTATCAGTTTGCTTACTCTAGACATTTGTTTCTGTGTTTTGAGATGTCTTGCTCTGTCACCCAGGTGGGAGTGCACTGGCATGATCTTGGCTCACTGCAGCCTCTGCCTCCTGGGTTCAAGCGACTCCCCTGCCTCAGCCTCCCTAGTAGCTGAGACTATAGGCACCTGCTACCGTGCTCCGGCTCATTTTTGTATTTTCAGTAGAAATGGGGTTTCGCCATGTTGGCCAGGCTGGTCTCGAAATCCTGACCTCACGTGATCCTCCCCATGTCAGCCTCCCAGAGTGCTGGGATTACAGGCGTGAGTCACCACGCCCAGCCAGCTTGTTTAGTCTAGAAACTTCTTCTTTTTTTTTTTTTCTTTTTGAGATGGAATTTCTTGTTGCCCAGGCTGGAGTGCAATGGCGTGTTCTGGGCTCACTGCAATCTCCACCTCTCGGGTTCAAGCGATTCTCCTGCCTCAGCCTAGCTGGGACACCACTGTGCCCGGCTAATTTTTTTGTATTTTTAGTAGAAATGGGGTTTCACCATGATGGCCAGGCTGGTCTTGAACTCCCGACCTCAGGTGATCTGCCTGCCTCAGCCTCCTGAAGTGTAGGGACTATAGGCATGAGCCGCTGCACCTGGCCTACTCTAGAAACTTCAGACAAATTCAGTCATATAATGTCTGGCTTCTTTCACTTAGCATAATATTTTTGGGGTTCATTTGTATTGTAGAATGTCCCAGTACCTCAGTCTTTTTCATTGCAGAGTTTGCAGTGAGCCAAGATCACACCA